AGTCTTAAGGATTACAGAAATAGAATGACCATTAGCTCGTTCCCACTGACATCCGTGTGGGGGACCATAGCAGAGTGAAGGAAACACTGGCGTACATACCATGGACGCTATTAAATCCACAGAAGAAAGCCTGTGCTATAACGGTGTGCTGTTCTCTTCACCTCAAGTCCTGCAGTTATCAAAAGTTATCGTCCAATTTTTAAAACCAACAATTACGTAATCGGAGTAAAACTGAGCGTTTGGAACAAGATTGATTTCTCCTGCTGAAGCTTAATGAAAGCCGGTCTTTACAGATATATCACTGCCCTATGTACAAGCAAGAATAATACCGATCTTTGCGAGACACATTGCCGCCAAAAAAGCAGATCATATTGCACTGTGGCAATAGATGGACTTCCGTCCTGTCCTTCGTTCCTTCCTTAAGCGCTTACTAAGTGGCATTCTTTATTCGAGCAGTGTTCCCTTCACTAGATTCGACTCGATGAGAAAAGGAACACCAGCTTCGCGAGGACGACCAGCTGTGTATTATCGGTTCAGACCAACGACACTCTAGAAATGACAGAGGCGCTGAAATGTCAGCGGAATAAATATTTCTCACGCCAACCACGTGCCAGCCAATAATGAAGAACAAACTTGTGAATGACTAGACGAACGTGGAAACATTCACTACAAAAACGAGCAAAACTTCAGGGTCGCTCCCACGACCGGCTTTCTATTAACCCCGGCATTGATCAAGTAATTCTTCGCATTTTTGTTGAGCAAACGGGAGGTGTTATTATTCTTTATTCTCGAATAATAACACCTCGCGTTTGCTCAACAAAAACAAGAACAATCATTTGAGGGTGGGGTATTTCAATGACTAGGAGCTGGGAAACCGCTTTAGGTAGAGCGCATGTCCGCGAATTTGAAACTAAAACGGGAAAATGAAATCGTGGCTGTTTTCCAGTAAACATTACACTATAACTTAAATTAAACAGAGGGCGGAATATTTGTCTTTTTTTGAAGACGGAGGGTTTGCAACATGGAGAACATGGAGATCAGATTTTTCGAATGGCGAATCCAGTCGGGCAAATTCCCTGTGAAAATCAGCAAAGCAGTTGAATCACAAGTGAGAATAGGAAAGCCAACATCTGCAGCTCTACACCGTTGCCTTGTAAAGGCGGGGGAACTAAATTTTCACTGGAGAAAATTTCCAGTTGAAGTCGTCTACACAAAGTCATATATCTATCAGGGTGGGTTATTTCAATGACTAGGAGACCATATATCATATATCTACCAGTAAATAATAATAAATAATAAATTAAATAATAGTAATAAATAATAAATAGATAAACTAGTGAAGTGATTTTCTGCCTGGCAAAGAGATTTTCTAAGTATCCATTGATCCTTCTTCTAAGCAATTTTTAGCATGGAGTTCCGCATGAGAATTCTTCAACATTATTCTATCGTCGTAAAGTGGTCGGTCTTTAAATATGTGCAGTAGGAACGTTACCAGGATAGCAGAAGAGCAGATAACCAACATGTTCCTAAATTGTTAAGATTGAGGTTAATAACCATATTTAGTTCGGCTAACATTAAAACGTCTTCGTCTTCATCAGAACCGATGATCCGAGTAGATGGCCCACAGTCGTTCGCCTTCTCGATGTGGCTTTTCGTTGTAGCATCGAGGCTGGTTCTTCTTCAGTAAACAGCACGAATGGGGAATGCACACTCGGCAGTGTCCTTTTATACAGTGTGGCTGTTGTTGATAATACTATCCACTGATAACAGTCTGTTTTTCAACCGATAATCCATCCTGTAGCATTGTGTCTTCCTCAGCTGACCATCTCTCGAATGAGGCATACTCAACGTAGAGATGCCACATCGACACGAAGGAGAACCGATAGACTGTCGACTCCGATCGTCTGCTTTGATAAAGACACAGACATGGAAACGTCGGCCGAACAAAAATTATTTATCAACCTCGTGTAAGCTTATCAGAGAAAAGATACGTTTTAGGTGAGATTTAGCGACAATGTTGCCACGATTTGAATAGCACTCGAAAAGAAATCAGTCGGTCATAGGGACCATGGGTGCTTCTACTGCCCAACTAGAGCAACCCATCTCTTGACGGTATTGCGATGCGCAACCAGTAATGTGTTTTCCACGATAAGAAGCGATGAATCGGTCCAGTGGTTGTACCGCGACAAAGCATCGAAACTAATTCCGAAGCGAATACTGCACCGAAAGAATTATTTGCTGACCGTTTGCTGGTCTGCGGCTGGTTCAATCAATCACAGCATTCTTGTTCCGGATGAACAATTTCGCGGGAAAAGTATGTCTGGAGTGGTCAACAGAAAGCACCAATTCTTAGTCACGGTAAAACGCGGCATTGAGGCTGAGCTAAATTTGAGAGGTCGGATAAATAATCGGCTTATCTATACGTGTTTCTTTCAATGGTTTACCGCTTCATTGGGGCAAATTGTTAACCTTTCATTTTCTGCCCACTACTATTTCTCATGGAAGGTAAGGTGTGAGATACAACACATCAATGCTGATATTCGCATAACTTCGCCAAATCGAACCACAATTTCCCTACTGGAGCCTCGCGCATTGTACGCTGCGCCACAGAGGTCCTTGCTCTGCGCTCTCTCAGCTAGATTTATACCTAACGTTACCACCAGCAATAAACCGCCAGCGCGGTTGACCTGCGGAGCAGAAATTGGCATTGAACGCAGTAAAACTGAAGCCGTGGTGCAGTGTGTTATACGCGAACACCTAGAAAGGAAATCGCTGTTCGATCTGGCCTGAGGGTCCAAGTTTTGCGATTACCTCAGGGTCGCTGTGGTTGTATTTCACATCATACACTGCCGTGAAAAGTTGTAGTAGGCAGAAAATAAAAGGTTAGCATCGCGATTTACACTACAGCCTCAACACAACTGACTCTAGTGCCCATTTGTGCTCTTAAGATCAATCCTGATGACGGGTGATTGCTCAAAGGAACGCCAGCTAGAAAACTAGTTTATAAAAGCGCCGAGCAAGGGCCTCCGTGGGGCAGTGTGTAATGCACGAGCCTCCAGAAAGCGAAATCGTGGTTCGTTCCGGCCCGAAGTCCAAGTTTTGCGAATTGTAAATACCGAAAGCCCAAATTGTAATCTCGTGTGGATTTGCGAAGAAAATAAGGAATTATTGCTTAATGCCGAGGTTAATAAAAAGGCGGGCTAGGAAATTCCTGCATCCATTTTTAAATAGGAGAGAACTTTCAAACATTACGTCTACAAATTGTTCATGGAACTTTCCACGGCGTACTACACGATCTACAGGTTACTCGACATTCTAAATGTCTATGGATTTTTTCCGGCTATCGAATCATCCTCTTTGGCTCCTCCGCTGATGCGGTGAACTGTGGAGCTCAAGTCGCTATAGTGGCCCTCACTCTCCGCACTCCTGCCACTCATCCAACGCTAAATTTGGTGAGAGTTTACGGTTGAGTTCTTCATGGCAATGTCTTCTGTAGGCGTATTCAACAGATCGTATACAGCCACCACTATGGATTCTATATTTGACACAACGAAAACAACGGTAAGACACTTCACAAACTGCTAAATACAACGACTATGATTTTCACGACCGAAGCGTTTTTAGATTACCTTACTTTTGTGCTGTGTCTTTGGCTCTTTGAACGCCACTACCTGTCTTTCCGGAAAATTCCAAATCCTGTTGGACCCCACCATTCCGACTTTCTATTTTACAAGTGAGTTTGACAACACTATAGTTAGATTACACTTAGGTAAATAATTAACGTCAAATCTCAAAGCGTCAACGTCTGGAGAACACTTTATGCAAAACCTTTTGCACATTTGATTTGCGCTTTGTCTCGTCTCATACACTCAGCTAAACACCACTTCACTAAGCGACACGTGCTTTTCAACAAATAGGTGTATATTACAACACCTGGATTGGCCGTGAAGAAAACACTGAGGCTGTAGTGAACGTTCTCTAATCTAGGGTTTCTTACAGACGAGACGTCTTTTACTGCCAACTTATTGCGTTCTGTGGACTTGTATTTCGGCAAACTTGTTTACATTTCAAGTTTCATCGTGTACGTTATCACCATCGTGTTTCTATTATGTAATGTATGTCAGCGTTGTTTCTTTCAATTCGACAATGTTTGAGCCATTCATTAATAAACAGAACAATATTCGAAATCGATAGAAATAGCTGAGAGACAGGCGAGACAATGGACCCGCATGGTGTGGTGGTGAATGCGTTACTCCCCGGAAAGGTCAATAGCGCGTTCGTTCTCCACCATAGACAACTGCGGACCAGAGTTTTGCAAATATCTCAGCAACGTTGTTGTTGTATTTCGCCTAGTACCCTGCCGCGAAATTATAGTAGGCATTAAATAAAAAGGTATAACAGAACAATATTCGTTCAAATAGGCAGCGAATTTCAGCGAAGTCTCATTCGGTCTGCCCGTGTCGAGTTTCCGCTATTGTTGCACTCCTTCCAGAGTTTCATGTTCTCAGGAGCGCCGCTTTATTTATGGTATTATCCATATACTTTTCCATTAATGAGGAAAATGGACAATACTTTGGTGTGCATGAGCCATGAGCATGAACTTGTGAGTCATCAACACATTTTCGAAGACACCCATATTCGCGTGGGCGAAGATTGGTACTACGCCTAATTCCTGGGTGATAAGGACGGGCTGGCTTTTTGGCTATAGTTGATACTTTTTTGATTACAAGAAGATTTGAGGAATTGCAAACGTAAATGAAATACAGAAGAAGAGGCTTTTCTTTCTCGATCGCTAATGGGTACAAGTGGCATATAATTTGTTAGTTAGTACCCGTTACTCTAGTCCGCTATAAAAGTAGCTGCCGCAGCATTCGAAAGTGTGTTACGGCTTGCAAGAGTAGCCCTGTAGGTTCTGCTCGTTCTAGATTCTCGTTCTCCTTTGGACTGCACGTTCGATAGCCCTGAGTGGTCTATCATACTGCTTACGCAACGACTAGGTTTCAAGCGCATACGTTAAAGCAGGAAGCACCACTGAGGCAAAAGGTGGGCAAGGAGTCGTTGTTATTTGTCTTCTTCATTACGTCCTCGATGCTTACGAAAGCTCTCCAAGCCACCCTTTTCCTTCTACTCAGTTCAGGAGCTAGGTCGTTCATCATATTGATTTCCCGACCTAGATAGATATAACTGGAGCATTCAGAAATATTCGTTCCGTTGAGCGTGAATGGGGCATGCGAAACCAATCCGTTCTTCAACAACATCGTTTGTGTGGGATTTACTCGAAGACCAATCTTTCCACAAGCTTTATCAAAGTCGTCAAGCATTCGTCTCGCTTGGCTAATGTTTGGCGTTATAAGAACGACGTTATCAGCAAAGCGAAGATTATCTCTCCGGAGCTCCGGAGCTAAGTCTTTCACCGTGTTGATTTTCCGACCTAGATTGACGTAATTAAAGCACTTGGAGATATTCGTTCGGTTGAGCGCCAATGTGGCATACACAACCAACCCGCTCCTCATAAACATCGTTTCTTTTGAGATTTATTCGAAGACCAACCTTTCCCAAGTGATTATCAAAATCAGTAGCATTCGTTCCGGCTGACTAATTCTTGGCGGTATGAGAATAATGTCATCAGCAAAGCATCGAAAGCGTAATTTTTGACCATCAATTTTTATTCTTATGTTGTCCTATATGAATGTTCGCATGACGTTCTCAAGGACCGTAGTAAATATTTTTGGTGAAATGGACAAGCTCGTGTACACTAGAGTGCCGACTCCTCTCTTTTCGCCTGTTCTGAGGAACACTTCTTTTTCGGTGTGATAGGCGGCCTTGATTGGGTGGCGTCGTAACGTCTTGGCCGGTCCGATGACGTTGTACTTCATCCTTCTAAATTGCTCGATCAGCTCTTCTATGGAGGACTGAGATACAAGTGTGCTTGCGTTGGAGATGCAGATCGTCTTTTGCGTCTTAGTCTTTTGCGATTTTCTCAGCTTAGAATGGTCCTGAGGTTTTTGCAGCCTATCCCAACCCGACCTATTCGGCGCAGTCGTAATGGAGGACCTTCCAAGTTCAGAGGAATGAGAGCCGTTTATTTTACTGCGTTTGGCGCTTTATACCCACGTATAGCTTGCTGAACTCCGGACATGGGAATTGAGTATGCCGACTTGTATGCTGCCGTTCCCTCGCAGAGTACACAGAAGAGATTATTTGTTGCAGACCACTCCTAACCGCCTCCATGAACTTACCTGATACTCGACTGCAGGCTTTTGGCCCAACTGAGTCGTAGAATAAATGCGCATGAACGAGAACGCACACACGCACGCATGCATTAATACGCCTCGCCGACGTTTCGGCAGCATCGCCTGATTCAGAGCCTGGAAGGGTACGCTAATAGTTAAATTATTAGAAACTTAGTTTATTGAAGTAATTTACTTAGCGAGAAAACTGGGTTTTTATAATCCAATGCCGAGGTTAATAGTAAAATAATGTTCAGCTACAATATACTTAATCTCATGTGAGGCATGCGGTAAAAAACACGGCGAAGCGTGTGCTTCACCTTGTATCCGCATGAAAGCACATCTACACAGGAATATGAAAATTCTCCAGGTACTCCACTAGATGCAAATGGTGCTCCAAAGCAAAATTATAATGATTTTGAAGTGATGTGATGGCACAAGAATCAACAACACCAATGCGCAAGACTTCTGAGGCGGTCCGGATAAATTTCAAAAATCCAAAGTTGAACCGGGAAGACGATTGCCTTACTATCACATGATCTGAAGCCTTATTTCAAGTTGATTTTCTGACTTGCATGGGTCTTCTCGTCATTCCACGTGACACGCATCCTGTTGTGCATGCATGCCATCCTGTTTTCTTCTAATGCGGATAGGTCAGAGAAAATTGATGCAACAACTTCATTTATTTATTTAAAAGGTAATAAGGTGCACCAACGAAAAGATTTTGCTACTAGGTTTCCCTACAACACTTTTCGTCTCCTTGCCCTAATTCCTATCGTGTACAAAATTAAAAGCTAGTTTCTTGGTTTGTGAAGAACGTTTTGTCCTTCTCCTTGAAGCACACCTTCTAAACCTAACAATCGCTCCTTATAAAGTTTATATGTCACTAGCGAGCAAATCGAAGTGAACGACAGATTAGTAGTCATACCAAACTGACGTCGTTGGCTTACGAAGATGTATAGTTTCGTTGCTCGACGTTGCCTCTTCTTCAGTCCCATTCCCGCTTTATATTAAGAATAGCACGTAGGCACCACATCTCCCGTTTCGCAATAGTCATATTCAATAAAGGAGTGTATTAAGAAAGAGTTTATGAGAGACAGCGAATGTGAGTCACATCAAAATTTGTCGTGGCCATTCACTTCATATGGCACCGAAGCTCCTGTTTTTCACCTCCGCATCGATTGAAAGTGTCGAGGAAATATAATGTAACTGCTCAGTGTGCTCATTTTCCTCCCGATTCCCGTATGGGTGCGAAAGTGCAACCTCACTCTTATAATGGTGGTTTAAAAAAAACTAGCGCTCTAAGCAAAACAAGTACTCTGCTTCTTGTAGTGTTTCTCTTCACTGGATTTGATTCAACAAAACTAGGAATAATTCATATTGCCAGAATTAAGTGCTGTGAACACTGAATTGTTGCCACTTGAATTGTTGTGGCAATGAAGAGTGAGGAGAACCGAAATCTTAGGCACATATTAAATGAAGATGAAGATGAAGATCAATGAAGATGCTAAAGGATAAAGGATAAAATCCTCTGTTGATCGAACACTGAGAGATGCGCCATGCATCCGACTTCGTTAGGCCTCGTTAGAGGTGCATATCTGGTCTTTACAATGGCTCGCACTGGTCTATCGATGCACCAGTCCTTCTATCCTTTCGGACAAGTTTGGCACTGATTTGATGACCCCGGAGGTATGGAAAGCTTTGTGAGCCACGGGTGCGGAGATTGGTCTCATGTGTGTTGCAAGGCACCTCTGACCACTGCGCCACATGCACCCTTGTGAAGATTTTACTTGCAGTCAAAGTGGTATAAAAGTTTTCCACTTTCTAAAATAACAACAGCTTCGTAGAAGGTGAATGTTGAAGAGATTAGAGAAGCAAGCGTTTAGCGTTCTTTGATTCAATTTCCCCATCTATTTTTTAAATTTATTTCTTAGGTTATTACGTTTAACGTAGCCATCTCCTCCCTCCACCTTTTTTATGTTTTTTTTCAATATATTTAAACCTCGTGTGTGTTGAAAAAGAACTCGTCCGATGCCCGTTCTAAACAAAGGAAAGGAAATAACCAGACATTCCCACTGCATGTTGCCCACAAAAATTGTTGGGCAGGTTAGGTTAGGTGCAGTCAGTGTAGAAAGAAATTTTGTTTAGATTGCTTCAACAGTGACCGTAAAAGGATAAAACATAAAGCTCTCGGCGTTGATCAATCTCTGAGAGATGTGCCACGCATTCGACTTCATTAAGGATTGTTGGAGGTGATTGAATGCATATACCTGCCCTTTACAATGACTTGCGGTGGCATGCCGATGTACCGAGACAGTGCTGCCTATCCTCTCAGACAAATATGGTACCAATTTGCCAACCCCGCAGGGATGGAAGGCTTGGTGAGCCATGGGCGCAGGATCGATCCCATGTGTGTGTCGCAGAGCGTCTCAGGTACTGCGCCACATGCACTCTTACAGCAACCTTTAAAGGTGTAGACTCAGTGCAAGAAATGTAAACTGTAAGGAGCAAGTGAGTGCTATATATAAAGAATATAAATTTCGAGTAGTTGTTGTACATTGCGAAGTTGGTAAACCTGCTAGCAGCGCTGTTTGTAAAAAAAATGTTATTGGGTGCAAGGTAATCTACGGTATTACTATAAAAGTGTGATAGGCACAGTACATAATGGTTTAACGAAACCATTGCACTGAAAGAAATTAGTGAACATGTCACTTGTGAACTCCAGCTCCTCCAAAATCATTCATTCTGTTGGATATCTACATCTTCACGAGGATTACATGTACTATGTGTCTGTCTAATAATTCTTTACACAACCAGTCATCACATCTATTTTGATAGTCTCAGCACTTTTTGAATTCGATTCGTTTTCCTCGCATTCATCGTAGACGAAGGTTTGCGAAGGCTTCGCCTGTTGTTGCAGATGCTGCTTTTACTCTCCTTTCTCGAGCTGTCCAACGGAAATGAAAAATGTGTTTGTTTTAGGAAATTTGTGGGAGCGTTTATAATCACAGTTATCAGAAAGGAGAGTAAAAGNNNNTGATTGAAAAAAAGCTGTGAGCTTTACTTCTTCTTCTTTAGGAAAGTTAAGTGTGTCTGATCACATTAGCACTACCAGATCGAATACGGTGATTTGTCCACGATGAACTGATTGAAAATTCTCAATGAGTATGCCCACCCGCATGAAGCTATTCTATCTATCATTTTGCTTCACTGACTGAAAAGAGTATGCATGTTGTCTTTGACTTTCCTTCTTCGACTTCGGTTATTTCTTTCTTAGGATCTAACAATTCAACCGGTGTTCTCTCACAAATTGGTCCAGAATAGCCGCTGGTTGCATGTTCAGGTGATGTACACGTGAAAGATCCTGGAGTAATGATGCTGCGAGGGGTCTTTGTTTACGGGAAGCTGATACCGAAGCGAAAAGGACGGCAGCACAAGCAGGATTCCTAATGACAATGATCGCTTACTATCTGCTCTTGACGTTGTTGATCGCCAATGCCAGTGCTGTTGAACCACCACCTGTCGCCAACTTGAAAGCAAGAATAAATCTTGCCGCCTTCAAGTTCTTCTCAAAAACTGCACATCATGTGGTAAGCGTTTAAGTTCTCAAGCAAAAGGAGGATGAGCATGTAGCGGAGAAGCATAGTTTGCAACAATTCACATTCTATTTCGGCTTCCCGCTTTTCACATGAATCGGTATTTCTAACTTTCTTGACTCATATAATCTTTTAAATTTTAAGGTCGACATAGAAGTGCCGAAAATTACACTTCCAGTTATCACGTGCAATATTACAGCCGGACCAGGCCATGGAACTGTGTCAGTCTACAAACTAAACGTCACGAAGTTCCATTCCCCAAAGTAAGTGTAGGAATGATTACTTTTCCTCGTAGGTTCTGAGGTCTTTTAGTGCCTAGATGACCAATATTTACGTGTTGTGGTAGTCCTAGTGGCTCTTCTATTCCATTCAATGTATGTAGACCTTACCTATAGAAATTATTGAGTTCGTATGCCGATTCAGCTGTTATATGAGGTTTCGTCGTTATCTGTCCTCATCAGCATTTGTAGTCCACCGTAGTCCTATGTAGATTTCATAAGGAGTTCTTGTGCATTAGAGGGCAATTTGCTTCCTTACCA